AATTTAAATTAAAAGAAATCAACAGGCATAAAAAATTAAATAAGCACAGAAAAAATAAAAAAGAGTTGAAATTTTTTTATATGAATATGAATTTATATTGAGCATGTTATTCCGACTAGCCGAATTTGCTAGATTTTGATTGAAAAGTATAATAAGCATCATAGAAAAATGAAATTTTTACAAGACATATTATTAAATAAAATGGTTGAAAAAATAAAACAAAAACCACAAAAAATTAAATTATTTCAAAAAAAATTACAAAAATAACGAAAAGGAAAGTATTAAAAAAATTTAGAATGAAATTAAAAAAAAAAATAAATTAAGTAAACATAAGAAAAATTAAACACATATAAAAAATTAAACAAACAGAAAAGAAATTAAATACACATTAAAAAAAATTAAACAATATTTAAAAAAAGTAAGAAAGTGTTAAATTCGGGTGCAACCGAACATTTTATACTCTTGCAACTTGCAGGAATCAAAGCCCTTTCGATGTAAAACGTCAACCAGACGATCGGAATCTAAGCAATTTAATTTATACATACACCATATAAATTATACACTAACTTACACATCTTAGAAAAACCAAAATCATTATACATAGTCATTATACAAAATTTGCCGGATGTTCGCAAATCCTGGTAATAGTTATATGAGGCCTAGGTTAAGTTTTCGCCCAATTTTATACATTTTAGGCACAATTATATACTGTTATGAGTAAAATACATTCTGAAATTTTTATTGAGATAACTCAAATATTGACCGATATATCCAGCATAAAGTCATCAGGAAGTTCGAAAATCTTTATATTAGGTAGGTAGGTATATGGGGGCTCAGGGAAGTATTGACCCGATCCGGCGGCAAATTTTTACGTTTCAGGAGAATTTAGTTATTCATTTATCGCGCTTTTAGTTGTTTTTACCAAGGCCGGATTGAGCGGGGTTTTCATTTGATTTCATCCATTTTCACACTATCGGTAAGAGTTCTTGTAATATTTGTGCTGAACGGTTTGGTTGTTGTAGCTCTAGTGGTTTAGGAGATATGTGCCAAATTACAGTTGTGTATCTTAATTTAGTCCTGAAATATGGCACTTTATGAGTTTTCGGTTGATGGCGATTTGTGGGCGTGGCAGTGGTCCAGTTACCATCATCTAGGAACTTTAATTTTTATTGTACTAAGGAAGTTGCAGCTTGCACGGTCAGACAATCACACGGATTTCAACTTTTCTCGTCATCCTGATTATTTATGTACATATACATATATAACCCCATATCTATCTCGATTAGTTTTAGGTGATACGTACAACCGTTAGGTGAACAAAGCTATTATGCTCTGTACCAACAGGTTGCAAGGGTATAAAAAAGAAGTTATTTCATGTCCAAATTATGAAAAAAAATTTTCTCTTATTCTTCGTTTCAATCAAAACGTCTATCGAAAAATTAAGATCGACATTTTTTCGTGTTGGAGTTGATCCGAAAATAGCTAAACTTGTAAAGTTAAATCTCAATCGACTTCAACCAGTACAATGTGTAGTGAAAAGTATATACACTTGTGCTCACATAATTAAGTCACGCCAGTAACAGAGCGAAAATTTATTCAAAGCAACTTCTATGGTACAGGAATGAAACTTAATTTTACAAAAAATGGAAGAAATTTTAATTCAGTTCAAAACAGAATACTTATTTTCTATTTAACTTCTAAAATAATAAAAATATTGCGTTCATTCCCTTAGTCCAACCATATTGTTGTGCTCGTATAATTAAGTCACCTAAAGCAAAATGTAGTTATTCGAAGTATACGACATTTTTTTTTGCAGTTTTACCTTACCTAAGACTAATACTTAGTTGGAAAACCTTTATTACGTAGCACCTCGGTACATCGCTTAGGCATTGTTTGGACTAAAGTAGCAAATTGAGCGGGACTTATTTTGTACCACTCTACCGTGCGAGGTTTTCGTGCAGCTACGGCTCTTTTTATAATCCCCCATAGGTTTTCTATGGGGTTTAGGTCCGGACTTTGAGCTGGCCAATCCAGAATTTTAATATTTCGACAACGTATCCAACTTTTAACGACCCGCGAGCAGTTTTTGGGGTCGTTATAGTGCTGGAAAATCCAAGCTAACGGTAAGTTGTCCACATAATCACCGTCTAAATTGTTCTCCAGTAGTCCTTTGTACATTTCACCTGTCATTTTCCCGTCTTTTTTAACAATCGGGCCAACGCCTGATGACGTGAAGCAACCCCACACCATCACCGATGAACCGCCATGTTTCACGGTTTTTTTTTAGTGTATTTGGGATTGAGTTCTTGCAAAGGGAGTCTTCTTAAATATGGTTTCCCATCATTACCAAATACATTAAATTTGGATTCSTCACTCCAAACCACCAAATTCCAAAATTTAGAGTCCTTCCAGAGATGGTCTTTAGCAAACGCTTTTCGATTTTCAATATTTTTTTGGAACGTTAGGTTTTCGTCTTGCTAAACGGCCATTCAATGAATTTTCTTATAGCCTTCTTCGTACAGTTTGCGCAGATATTTGTACGCCGTGGTATTCCTCTAATTGAGCCCTAATTTCTGTGGAGGTTAAAAATGGATCAGACTTACTAAGCCTTACTAAGGCCCTATCGTCAGAACGGGTGGTCTTTCTTGGCTTTTTACGCGGTAAATTTTCAAAAGTCTTATTTTTTTTTTTTTTATAAAATTGAACAGCGGTATTAATTTTGCCTCGAGAAAATCCTAAAACATCTACAACTCCGGCAATATTTTGATATTTTTGAAAACATTCCCATATGACCCTTCGTTCGCTTGAAGTTGTGCTTTTATTCTTGCCCCTGACGACGATGACTACAAATTTTGTTAAAAATAACTTAATTTAGTAAAAAAGAACAATATTGATGTAAATTGTGGCGAAAAAATTTTAATTTACCCGTTTCAAACAGAATGACTTAATTATGTGAGCACACTTTAATTGACAATAAATGGAAAATTCATTTAAACTCTCCCAAACGAAAATACTTGAATGCGCTGTAAATCGGTGGAGTTCCTAGAATAACGGAACCTTTTGCTCGCGCAATATTAGGGATGTTGCATAAAAAAATATACCTTGTTTTTTTACATGTTGTAAAAAAGTACTGAATGACTTAATTATATGAGCACAAGTGTATATAAACCTTGTTTGTGTTTTTAAGTCATATATATATATATGTATGTATGTATATTGTTTTTATCACTTCAATACCTTTCTTCTTCAATTAGTAGCACAATTTTAAAAAGTATATAAAATGTTACTCATACGCCGTGTTGCACGAGTATCCTTTTTTGATACTGTACCATGATACAATATATGAAATATAATAAAAAATTGGTGACTTTCGAAATTTCGAATATAGCTATCTGTATAACGTGTATATCAATAGTTTTTATATATTTAGTTACCAAACATTTAAACCAAACTAAACTACTAAACCATCAATTTCCACCATTTTCAGGGAACAAATTTTACGTGTGAAAAATGACGAAAGCATACCGTTCCTGTTGGTGGGCAACAAATGCGACTTGAGCGACAAGCGCAAAGTGCCGCTGAACGAATGCCAGACACGCGCCCAACAATGGCAGGTGCCCTACGTGGAGACCTCCGCCAAGACGCGTGAAAACGTCGACAAGGTAAGTGCGTCGTGGTGTGTGAGTGTATGTGTGTGTACGTGCGTTAGAGTGTGTGTGTGTGCGTTATTTTATGTACGTATATGCAGTTGCATTGTTGTATTGTTTCTCACGAAACTATTGGCATTATCTACTATATATATTTTGCGATTATTTCGCGTGAATTCGTGCGCTGAGCTCTGTCATATTGCTGTGCTGTGCGTCTCTTCCGTTTCATTTCTTATTTCATTTGAACTTCATTTGACATGATTTCCTCAGTTTTCACATGACTGCAGTGAACAGTTGACTGCCCTTTCTTATTTTTTTGTTCTTGTTCAACACTTTGCTTTGTACCGCACATACACTTTTTGTGCGCAAAAGCAATATTATACCGTTACATTTATATTAATAGTATTTTTTTGTGAATTTTTGTTAAAACGCGCTCTTTTGTTGTTGTCTTTGATGTCGTACTATTTTTTGGTTTGTTTACACTTGCATTTTCTTTAATTAATTTTTCATTTGCATTTGTTGTAGTGCAACAAAAAATGTAACAAAATTAATAATTGAGTGTAAAATAATAATCAGTATAATCTACTGTTATTTGTAGTCAACAGTATTGCCAGCATAATCTGCAAACTCTAGCAGCAACTTGTTTGTCTCATACACTTTGTCATCGGTCCTTCACTTTATACACATAGTTTGAGACATGCCCCACATATTGGTTATACACTCAAATTAATTATAATATGTACATAGCAAACATACTTACTATACTGAAATTAGGTGTTTGTGTAATTTGATTAGTATTAAATTATATTAATTAAATATTTTAATTAAAAAATAATAATTTGTAAAAAAGATTTACAGCGAAAATTAGTCTGAAAGCATAATTCGTATTCGAAAATTTCAGCAAGTATATATAATAACGTCGTTTGGTACTTATTTAGCTAATTTTATTTATATAAAATTCGCTCAAATCTAGAACTAGTAATTCTTTACCCTTAAGTTTATCGAAAGTGAAGTTAGAAAAACAATAAAAACTCCTAAAATAATGCAAACTTAACAGAAATTAACACGTCAAAAACAATGTGATTTCTTAAAAAAAATATAAATAATAAAAATAAATTTTAGTGACTGTTTAAATTTTCCAAATATTATAAATATTTTTAATATTATAAATCACGCTTTTAAAACGTTTAATGGAATTTATTTATTATATACAATTTCGACTATTAAAAAAAATTATAGTGCCTCACAAAAAATCCACAAATTAAAATTTTCTATTAAAATTATAAAACATGAAACTTAGTCGCTAAATTGAGGTGAAAATTTTAATTAAAACTCTTAAAACAATGAACGCATTTTAAAGAAATGAGTAAAGCGCCAAAATTTTATGAGTTTGTTAAAAACGCCTAAAATTATGCTATGTTATATTGACTGTTTCAATATTTTTCATATTAAAAATCATGCTCTTAACATTTTAATATAAAAATCAAAAAACAAAGTTATAGTAAGCCTAAAAGTTTACAATAAATCGAAAAATTAAAATTTTCTATTAAATTTCGATATACCATGCAACTTAGCATTAAATTTAGTATTTGCAATACAAACAATAGTTAGATTTGTTAGTTTGCTTCTAATGTTCCATACTTTAAGGCACAGTTTTAGTTAACATTTTCGAAAAAAATTTTATTTTCATAAATTTCAATATTTCTGATTTAAAAATATAATTTTAGCTCGCTCTCTAAACTTTTAAGTTAAAAAATTTTAACTCTTCGTAAATAGTACTACTATACCCTTTGCATGCTATAAGGCGCTGTAGCAATGCATTGGTTAACATTTTCATGACAAAATGTTATTTTAATATTATTCAACATTTCTAATTGAAAATGTCATTTTAACACTTTCTAAACTGTAAGTTAAGGTAATTGTAACTCTCTTTACACTCCCTTTGCATACTTTATGGCACTGTGACCAAAGTTTGTGAACATCTTCAATACGAAGTTCTTATTTAATCAGTTTTAACAATTCTAATACTTCTAAAATACAATTTGAAATCTTTTTATAAAACAAAAATAAAGAAATAAAGTGTTGCGCCTAAAACTAGGCAACATATACAATTGAATTTTTTTTCATTTTACAATAATTTAATCGTACTATCTAAATGGTGAAATGTAGAAATTAAAAAAAATTAATTA